TTATTGTAAAAAATAATAATGATAATAAACGTATTTACAATGTGGTATTCTTATAAAGTGCACCAGCCATTGCCTTTTCTTATTCTGATCTTTACTTCTAGGTATTTTTAAGGTGCCGTTCCTAGAAAAATAGTCTCTATAGATAAATGCTGGTAAACGGGAAAAAAAGCAAATTATATAAAAAAAAAATGTCGAATTAATATGATCTACCTATTCATGAAATAGTTTTTCCCAATTTTCATCATTACTTTCATAATGTACCAGCCCTTTACAGATGCATTTTGGCAAAAGCTCTTGCTTCGGCGCATCTGACAATCTACTTTTTATACCAGATATTTGCAAACTTGAGAAAGATCAAGCAAAAGAAAGCAAAATAATTGCATACTTTTGAAGCTATATTACTTTACACAGAACAGCTTATTTTTTATATTTTTTATATTTTCTGATTCGTAAAAACTTCAGCTACAGGTTTGTCTTAAGAAGCATAGTGTATTTAAACTAAGTTGTTAGGTGAAATTTTCAAAAATATAAATTCGTCGATTTGTGTAATTTATGTAAATTATATGATAAAATTTTGGATGTGACAAATCGTGTGACTGTTAAGTCAAGAAAATCCCGGGCTGAAGATCACTGTAGATCCTTTCCAATCTAATTCCGAAGCCAAAACATTCATTTTCTTTAAACTTCTAGCGACGATTTCTCAGTAACCACTTGATCAAATTTGGTAGAAGTTTTTATTTTGATTCTAAATATTTGTAAAATTAAAACAAAAAAAAGCTCATTAAAATTGGTCAAGTAGTTGTCGAGAAACCTTCAGCAGAAGTTTTGAAAAGCTTGAAATATCTTGAAAAAAAAATCTAAAATCGGCAAATTTTTACTCTTTGAAATTTTAAACAATGATTTCTCAACACCCAGATATCCAAATTTAATGAAATTTTTTTTATTTTGATTATACAAGTATCTAGGATTAAAATTAAAAAAATTTACAAAATTTGAATAGACAGATGTTGAGAAGTATCGATTAAAAGCTAAAAAAAAATTTGGCTGCAGCTTTCTTTATTACAGATATCCAAACTTTGAACGAAGATAACTCGGTCGTTACATGATCGAATTCGATCAAAATTTTTTTATTTTAATTCAATGAGATTTTAGAATTAAAATAAAAAAATTTTGCTCGAATTTGATTATGTAATGGCCGAGTTATCTTCGTTCAAAGTTTAGATATCTGTAATAAAGAAAGCTGCAGCCAAATTTTTTTAAAACTTTTAATCAATATTTCTCAACATCTGTCTATTATTTTAATTCTACATACTTGCAGAAACAAAATAAAAAAAATAATTGAATTTGGATAGATGGCTGTTGAGCAACCGTCGATTAAAGTTTATATAAATAATTTTATTGCAACATTCTTTTTCTTAAATTTTTTTACAAAACTTTAAAAGATGATTTCTCAACACCCATGTATCCAAATTCAATGAATTTTTTTATTTTGTTTCTGCAAGTATTTAGAATTAAAATAAAAAAAATTTTACTGAAATTCAATAGACAGATATTGAGAAATATCAATTAAAATTTAAAACAAAATTTGGTTGCAGCTTTTTTTTATGGATATCTTAAATTTGAATGAAGATAACTTGGCCATTACATAATAAAATTCGATTAAAATTTTTTATTTTAATTCTGTGTGATTGTAGAATTAAAATAAAAAAAATTGATTGAATTTGATTAGGTAACAGTCGAGTTATCTTTGTTCAAATTTTAGATGTTCGTAAAAAAAGATGCAGCCAAAATTTTGGTTTAACTTCTAATCGATTTTTCTCAACACCTGCCTATTAAAATTCAGTAAAATTTTTTTTACTTTAATTCTACATACTGGTAGAATCAAAATAAAAAAGTTTTCATTGAATTTGGATATCTGGATGTTGAGAAATCATTGTTTAAATTTCAAAAAGAAAAAATTTGCCAATTTCTTTCCAAGATATTTCAAACTTTTTCAAAACTCCTAGCGAAGGTTTCTCGACACCCACTGAACCAAATTCAATGTACATTTTTTTATTTTAATTTAACAAATACATACAATCAAAATAAAAAAGCGTTTACTAAATTTGATCGAATGGTTACTAAGAAATCTTCGCTAGAAGTTTAAAAAAATTCAAAATTTTCAAAAGGATCTTCAATTTAATTGATTCTGATTGGTGAATATTTGGGCTCCAGAATCAGATCGGAAAAGATCTACAGTGATCATCACTATTTATAATCCTTATAGACGAAATTCAATCCAATTCAGAATTTCGTAATTGGTTTGTGAAAAATGTAAAGATTGTGTCAATTTGTACATTATTATCTTGTCCTGATGCCAAAGTTTTAAATCTTTTGTCTTTACAAATTGCCAATTTTAAAATTTTAAAATTTTTATGGTGCTATTCTCAGAAAAGGTTGAAATGCGGATTTATTATGGCACAGTTATTAATATTTTTATTGAAAATGTTTCACAGTTTTTATTCAAGTATATAAATATAAATCATTTTTATTTTTTTATAAAAAAATTAACAAAATTTAATTAGGGGGCTATTTTTTATACCCCTATATTTGTTATTCGTACCCCCTCTAATGTAAATTCTCAATGTCACATGGTCACGTGAAGTGATGATCAATACAATTGGACAATAGTGTTACACTTATCATGCACAACTCTAGATATTAACTGATCATCTAATAGCTAACACTAAATACGTGCACGACTTATAAGATACTGATTTTTTGTCAAAGATGGCAACAAGTTAGTTGTCTTTATATTAGCAAAACACTTACAACAAACCTTTCTCGTGACTTTACACAAATATTGCACGATCAAGTAATTTTATATAGTATAAGTGTAATGCTTTATTTCTAAAATTTCAGATCATAAAAATGCTTTGTTCACGTTTATATTAACATGTATTTAAAAAAAATAGCTAAGCAGGTTCAAAGTTGTGAACTTTAAAGTTAAAACTATAATGCAAGTAAACTTTTACTTAACATTTCGTCTGTTACAAAATGTAAGCTAAAATACTAATTAAGCATTTATTATACTGAGTTATTTGTACAAGTACGCACATTGTGCCCAGGTTGTCGGCAAATGGAACAAAGTTTTGCTTTATGATCTACCAATTCAAAACCGGAAGGATCTCTTTGAGTTGAGTTATCTTTATGATGATTAAGAGCTCCAGAGGGACGACCTTTGGTACGGACTATATTAGGATTTCATAAAGTCATTAATAGTTCATCAATTATGTTCTTCAATGCATCTTGTGCTGCTAATTGCTGAAATTCAGGCCATTCTTGATATTTTAGTCATAGATCTTGCAAGAGAGGTTGTAGTAAATCTCTATGATCGGAATTATTTTCTTCAATTTGTGGTGTCACTAAGTTGTCTAGAATTAGGAATGTTAAGTTGTTCATTTAGTATAGTCCCGTTTTAGTTCCAAGAAGTTTAAAAAAAAAAAAAAAAAAAAACTAAAAAGTTTATAAACTTTATTTTAGCTTCAAGTTTGAACTTGAGTTGAACTCAAGTTCATAAACTCAAAGCATGAACTCAAACATCTCTACCTGAAATCCACCAATGCTTATGGATGTTATTAAGCATTAAACTTTGATCAAATCCCAAACGCTGAATAAAATAAGCACAAGGTAAACCCATAGTTTTCAAAAAAAACCCGGAGCATGGTGGTAAGTGTTCTTGTACTGTGGCATTTTTTGCCTTCAAATACTGACTGTTTATCTTTTTGAGAGCAATGGACAATACTTTACCTTTAATATTTATGTATAAGGAATTGTTAGTAGCAAAAGCTAGAATACGAATACGCTCTGATGAAATCAGAGTATTAAGTTCTTTTCTCTAGTTGGCTGCTACTAGAGATATTGTTGTATAAACATGATGAAGGTCTCCCGTGGATATATGCAAGTATGCTTTTAAAGTTGCATGTGAACCCTCAATACGAGAGGTTACAGTTGTTCCCAAGTGAAGCAATTCATTTTTCCAGGCTTTTACGAATCTTTTTTTCTATAGTATCCAGGTTTCTTGGAGATAGGATATTACACTAGGTTTGTTAATATAAATAGAACAAAAATCTCTCCACTTTATATCAAATTCACTTTCTAATTCTGATTGAACTATTTCATTCCACTTCGTAAGAAAGCTTTCCCATTCGCTACTTTTTTTGTTCTCCGTTTCTTTTAAAAATTGTGGCTTACAATTTTTTAGGACATTTTTACTAATGTGCCACACACAAAGTAGATTTTTTGAATTAGGAAAAATCAATCTAAGAGCATTTATAAGTGCTAGCTCTCTATCAGTCACAATAACGCCAGGTTTCTGTACTTCATCAAATATTCTTATGAACTGTGTTAGGGCCCATTTATAATCTTCCTCCTCTTCACCTTTCAGAAAAACAAAACAGGAATAAAAGATGGTATTAAAACTAGTTATACCTACAATATTTAATAGAGGCATTTTAAATCTATTAGTTTTATAGGTACAATGCATAAGAATTACTGTAGAATATTGACAGGTAAGGAAGATTGATTCGTTATGTGCAAAAAACAAGTGAGTAACAAAGCCAGCATTATTACATTTATACTCATATAAAAAATTCTCTCCTTGAAGTTCATCTACTAACGCCTGAATAGGTGTTCGACCAGCTAGATTTTGTTGTCAAAGCTGTGCATGTGCATTATAAATATCACTACTAGTGACTAATGCCGATGGATCACTTTGTTGAAGTGTTGATATAATTTCACGGGGACGTGAACCAGAAGTAGACATCATTGCTACACTTTCTATCTGTTCCTCTGTTAGTCGACAGACAATAGGATGTCCTGACATATCTTCTGAGGGATCATGATTGTGTTCTGCATTACGAACTTCAAAATACTACTGATAACGATTCAAATTGTCACGACGCCAAGAAGCATACAATTCAAAAGGGCAGTCTATTAATCTAGTGCTTTTTTTTCTGTTACTTGTTTCTTCAGTAAAACTCTGAAAATTATTATAAACACCGCCTCAGTCACAACGTATTTCCATATTTTTTAATTCACCACGCTTATTTTTCGGGTTCTTTTTTTAACTAGTGCATAACCTTGAGAATTCGCAAACCATTGTATGCTTTGAAAAAGTTCATTGGCATTATTATATACTCCAAGAGGAGGAGGAAGCATAATTTACTTTGACAATTAAGTATTTAAAGATTTATTTAACTAATTGCTTTGTTTTAAAATTTAATTCATATAAATTTAATGCTTGACTTAATTTGAGTCGATTATAGTGGAAATTATGATTTAAGAAAAAATTGTTTAATGGCAAAAGTGAAATTACTCTTATCAAATTATTTTATATTACTTGTCTCA